GGTTATTTAATAATAAGGATTGATTGGATCGCTTGTTTTCCAATTAATTACAACTAAGGAGAAATAGGAAAAATAAATTTCAGTGATGAATGCAAAAATATGAATTGATAATCATTCATAGATCCATAATCAGTTTGAAATTCCTACGGTGGATATTGACTTAGACCAAGGTTCGTTCTATTGATTTAATCTAATTTATTAAATTGCATTGCTTTTAGTTAGAATCGATTTCATCACAAACAAAACTTCTCGTTGTTGTTAACATTGAATAAAATTAGACTAACCACTCTTTGTGGGAACGATCCTTACTTCCACTACTACATACATTTTTTGAAAATGTAGGTTTTATTATTTTTGGGTGCCTGGGACAGCACGCCAAATTAGTCTAATTTTATGCAATGTTAACAATAATCGGGGGTTTGGTTTGTGATGAAACCAATTCTAACTAAAAACAATGAAATTTAATAAATTAGATTAAATCCATAGAACGAACCTTGGTCTAAGTCAACATCCACCGTTGGAGATTTACAATTGGTCATTGATCTACAAATAATTATTAATTCATACTTTTAGTATTCATCATTGGAAAATAATTTTCCATTCGAAACAATTTCCTATTTCTCCTTACTTTTAATTAATTAGAAACAAACAATCTAATTAATCCTCATTACCAAACAATCCTAAACAAGCGCGAGAATTTAATTTAATAATGGCTTTCCAAATTAGAGAAATCAATTAACTAGATAACACAAGCCAAATGTTTGCATTTAACCTAGATAAATATTCTTCCTAAGATTTAATAATTTCCCAAACCAACAAATTACTAATACTAGTTGCTTCACAAGTTAAATTAATCAAACAATTATGGATTTGATATTTAACTTAGCTATAAATTGAAACGTACGATAAACTAATGGATCCTTTTACTAATAAACATTAACAATCATGAAATTAAGCATAGAAGAATATTCAATACTGAAAATATAAATTAAACAATGAAAATTAGGTGGATCTCACAATTGAAAACAATTCCAAGGCTTCAATATCCTTCAACCAAGAGAGAAATTACTTGCACATCATCAATTCTAAGAGCAAAATAAAGTAGAAGGGAATGGGGATCGTTCTTTGCCTCAAAAAATATGTAGAATATAAGATTTTTAGGTCAGAAAGGAGGGTCCCTATGTTCTGGCGTCATTAGGTATATATATGGTGTCAAAAATATTGTTTCCATCTAGAATTTCATCAAAATAAGGAAACTAGCCCTTCAGGAAAATTTTGGCCCGTGCTCCCGCGCCATATATTTTATTGCGATTGCTGCTTTGTTGTTTTGCCCTCGGTATGCAAGAATAAAGTCTCTCGCGCACGCCACTTTAAGTCCGTGCGCTTGCAGTATAAAATAATTTCAATTGTTGCACTTTGATCCCCTGAACTTTCATCTTCTCTTTTATTGGCTTCTTTTTCTTATTTTCCTTCTTCCAACACTTTGAGTCTTCCATCAATTGACCTTCAAGTCTTTCACTCATTCGTTTTGGCTTTCGGTTCAACTTTTGGATAATTGCGCTTTAGTCCTTTAGCTTTTTATTTTTTTTCACTTTAGTCATTTTTCGCTCTTTTCTTCTAATTTATGCTATCATTATTCATTTACAACCTAAATCAAAATATAAGGGTGCTTAGTACATTTAGGCGTTAATTAATCACAAAAGCATAAGGTAAAGGAATGAAAAATACAACATTTTACATTCCTATCAGCAAGCCCCAATACAACGGTATAAAAGATTTGATTCATTGTTCTTGAAGCTTGGCTTTAACAGAAGCAATTATGATACATGTCTCTACTAAAATAATAAAGTAAAGTTAAAGATGCTTTATATTTGGTACTTTATGTTGATGACATACTTCTTGCTAATGCCAATGAATATGGAATTGATGATATCAAACACAAATTAAAATCAGAGTTTGACATGAAGGATCTTAATCTTGCCAATAAAATTCTTGGTAAGCATATTATTAGAAATGAAGAAACTGATTCCTTGCTTTTAAGTCAACAAGATTATGTGAACAAGATTCTGAAAAGGTTTAACATGTTTGATTGTAAACCTATCTCTTTACCCCTTGCTAATCATTTCTATGCTGATGCTATTGGATCTGTTATATATTTGATGATTTGCACCATACCTAATTTAGCTTATAGCATTAGTATCCTAAGTAGATTCATGGGAAATCCCAAAGAAAGCCATTGGGAAGCATTGAAATGGTTAATGAAATATTTAAAGGGTTCATCGAACTTAGGCTTAATGTTTAGAATGAATAAGGAGGAGGAAATTCTAAAGGGTTTCTCAGACTCTAATTTTGCTGGAGATAGAAATAATAGGAGATCAACTCGTCTTATTTTTATACTTTGTGTGCTACAGTAATAACTTGGAAATCTCAGTTACAAAAAAATGTTGCTCTATCCTCCACTAAGGTAGAATACATTGTAGCAACTGATGCCATCAAAGAAGGCATCTGAATGAATGTGATGTTAAATGAACTTGGTTTTTTGGACACTAATCCAACCTTATATTCTGATAATTAGAGTGCAATTTATTTGAGTAAGAATCTCATGTTTCATGATATTGATATCAAATACCATTTTATATGAGATGTTATCTCAAAGGTATTGATTAAAATTGGTAAAATTGCTATTCTATATAATCCATCTGATATGGGAACTAAAGTGATACCTTTAAACAAGTTCCAAAACCGTTTAAAGTTATTATCTATTAATACTTTTCATTGATCATACAAGTACATAGAGCAAATGAAATTATAAATAGCTGGTGAAGCTCCTGGCTGCACTATTACCAAGAATTTTAGAAGCAAGTTGGAGATTGTTAAGTTTCGAACCATTGACCCCATTACTTATAAAAGCGTGCTTCCAAAATATGAAGAAATCGTGTTTCAGATTTTGCACTTTTGTTAGTGAAGGCCTTTAAACGGATTGTGATGCATGGCACTGTGATGACCGTTTGATTAAGTTCTAGATGCTTCTGGCTTTATATTCCTACGGTGACTCTTTGATTGGCAGATTTTTGAGAGAATTTTTGGGGTTGCTTTCGTCTCTTCATCTCCTTCCTCTCTGCGAGAATCCCTCATTCTTCGTGATTAGGGTATGAGGTTTTTGCATTTTCTAGTGATTAAATCTTAGTGAGGAACTTGTAATACTATAGATCTACATACTATAGTACTCTGTGTTTGTGTACAATAGTCTGAGTGATTCGTGTTAGTAGTATAGTTTCTAGAAAGATCTAAGCGATCTCCTTTGAGTTCTCGGTGGAGTGTGATATGATTCTTGAATCTTTCAAAAGATAAGTCTCTGAGGCTTGATCTTTGTAATTTTCTAGAACAAATTGCATATTATTGTTGTTGATTTTTGGCTTTATCGTGCAATCGAGCAAAATCCATTTATAATGGATGCTTAATAGGGATTAGACGTTAAATGTGGTCGTCGAATTTCTGGGGCTATGGTCGAAAAATCCTTGTGTTGATTTTTATTTTCTGCACTTTATTTTACTGCTTTGTTGATTAGGTTTTGAATCTTGGTTGATCTTTAAGTGTTTCTCGACCTTTCACATGGTAATCATGAAACTTGGTCTTTGACCAATATATTGCTTGATTAGAAACCTAACCATTGTTACCTCATCCAGAAGCAGAAAATACAATGAAAAGTCCGGTACTTCATGCACTCTAGTCTTGTTCATTGTCACCATACGTCAACTCAAGAGTATCTTTGGCTACTGAACACTTTTAGTCTAGGTATTGAAGAAAATTGTGTAAATTTATTACTATAGCCCACATTCAAAAAGTCTATAGTATCCTCATAGTCTTCATGAATATATTTAGCATCTAATTTTATACTCGGGTATAACGTCTAATGCCTATAGATGGATCAACGTACACCATCAAAGCCATGAAACCACTAATCAAATGATGCTCAAGAGCACTTTACACCTCTTTTTACAGGCCTCTATGCAAAATTGATGGATAATAGACTTGAACATCACACATCGAACCACCCTAAATTTGCACTTATTTTTGTTAGGTCCACAATGTATAGATTAGTTCAGTGTCTAAATCTTTATTATTGAGTTGTAATTAATGACAAACGGTTGGAGGGTTGGTAGTATATGTCTTGAAGGACTTATTGTCAGCTTAAGAAGACCATGGAATGTCCAAGAAGATCACATATTATTAATGAGATGCAATTAAAAGTCCAAGAAGTATAAAATTGTTGCACAGGTTATATTCCAGATTCTCAGTCACAAGCTGCGGCAGACTTTTTGCACTGAAAAATTTTAAATTGGAAAAATAATATTTCTAGAAGAATTGTGGTATTTTGAATTAGCTTTTCAATGTACTTTGAATCACCTTACTCTGATAATGCAAGAGAAAGATATAATGAAAATAATAACAGCTACTCAAAGAGAGTTCTCTGGCTGTCCAAGGGTATTTGAGCGGCCGTGTTAAGTGCCCAAACCCTATTTTGCTATTTTATAACTTTTTATAGTCCTATACAGCCTCAAACACTTTATACTATATATACTCAAGACATATTTCGTCCCAAACATGTCTAGCATTTATTCATTTAAAAGAACATCCTATCGAAGATCAGACATCAATTTCATAATTCTCTTGACTAAGCCACAAGATCAAAACACCAAAAACTATTTTCTTTACTAGTAATCATTCAAAGTTCTAAACTTGGGGAGAGGCAGCTGGAGTTCCAGTTGAAGAAGAACGTTGATTGTTTTTGGTGAGCCACATGGAGGACAAAAAAGTTCACAGCTATATGAAAGTGCAGATTTCACAATCGAAGAGCTTATTCGGTTATTCACAGGTAAGGTAGTCAGAACTTACTAAGGTTTAGTAGAGCCTGGACCAACTATAAGTTATCTTTTTTATTGGATCTTTTTGGTAAGTTAAGCTCATTGGTTGTTTATCCTTGTGAAGGGTTCTTCAAGGATTTTTTTCTTCATTACCAAATTTTATGTTATTAACCTTTATTGCTTTTAATTTATATTGCACGATTAACACTTAGAATTTAATTGGACACTAAACTTAATCATCTAGAAAAAATAATAAGTGATTTGTCGCATTTTATTGATTCCGATTATATGGCGTAGTTGGGTTCTAAACGTTACTTTCGACTATTTATATTATTTTGATTGGTATCAGAGTTTAATATCGATCTGTGGCCCAATATTACTTAGATGAGTCAATCACTTTCTGATGAAGGATTTGAGAATGATATTGATATTCTTGAGGCTTATAATCAGTTATTTATGGAAATTCTTAAGTTAAAGAAAGGTTAATAGATTCTTTTTTAAGAAACTAAATGAGCTTGAATTAGAAAAAGAAAGACTTGTAATCAAACTTGAAGAGTCTACTAGAAGTCTGAATGAATTGAGTGTAGAGAAAGAGTCCATAGATATTAAGGTTAAATCTCTTATGAGTGATCTTAAAAATTTTAGTACCCAATTCAATCTTTTCCTAGTGGATCTAAGAAAATTGACAACATGATAGGTCTAAACAAAATAAATGGAAATAGAGTAGGTTTAGACTTTAATAAGATAAATTCTCATACTACTTTCTCTTCTAAAACAAGTTTATATCTATCTCAATCAACTAAGGTTCAAAATTTGAAACCTAGAATTGTTCTTAGGTTCATCTCCTCTTGTTCCCACTGTATAGAGTTAGGACACATAAGATGTAGGTGGCAAACTCTTGAGTAGGAATAATAAGGCAAAACAGAGGGCTCTTAACCTAGAGTAGCTTTTAGATTCATTTCCCCATGTCACAATTCTAGTGAGTTAGGCCACATAAGACGTAGGCGTCGTAAGCCCTTGATTAGGAACAACAAACAAGATTTATTTACTAATATTAGATTCTTAGTTAATCAAGTGAGTCACTAAACTAATATGAAGAGTTATTTGATTAAGATTACATCATCTTCTAAGAAGATTTGGATAAAAAAAAGTGAACTCTTTGGTTAAAGCAATGTTTTAAATTGCGATGTTGCTTTTGCTCTTTATCGTAAAAGCGTTTTTTATTTTGTTATCAACTACCAGTAAAATTAAGGAACATTAAATAAAGTTTCCGTTAACTTTATTTAGAACTTGTTTGGAGTACTTCGTATAAGCTACATTATATATAATTTGCATTGCGCGCATTAAATCATTGTGAGTGAGTTTTGATTGCATGTGTGAGATTTGAGATGGCAATCATCAATGTGATAAGGTAACCATGAATATAGATTGACCTTTAACTTGTCGAACTAAGCTCTATTATGTAGAAACATTATCGAGCTTCAAAATATTTAAATTTCATAAAAATATTGTGATATCTTATACTTTTCTTAGCCTTTATAACTCGAATAATTAAGTCTGCTGGGTATCTTAAAATCTGATGCCCTGCATTAGGTTTGACTTTCATAAATTGAGGAAAATATTCATTTACTAGTAATTTCTTGTATGTCATTTCTCATAAATTTATGATTTTGAGTCTTGCTCACGAGAGATTAGTGGTACTTTTCACACAAGGGTTGCATATACAATTTACTTTATAAATGTTTAAAATGAGCTATGTGGAAAAAGTTTACTATTTATAAATTATGTCTATATATGTAAGCAAATAATTGTTCATGTGATTTTAGCATTCACTAGTTGATTTTATATTTAAAAATCCATGAAAAGAGTTATCTCAAAGAGAAATTTTTTTCTCCCATCATATGTTTTGCATAATTTTGCA